ACTATAACAAAACCTTTTCTTTATCATATAGTAATATATGGATGCTTTCTAGCTTGCGTGTTTTCGATCCCCAACCAAAGTAATAAAAACATCACCAGCATTAATCAACTTTTCTAATTTATTATCCAATATATTTTTCTTGACGGGAGGGCAAAAAAATGACATACTATAGAAAAATATGTTTCATTTTTTTAATTACATTCGTAAATAATAAATATTTAGTCAAACTCCATTGGAACTCTAAATATTTTTTTCACACAGAATCAAAATATTTGTATTTTGTAATTATCTTATTTTGGGAAAATTCCCGATGTCGCTTATTTTATCTTCCACCTACAGAATACAAACATACAGATCTTAAAAAAGTTCATTTTTGGTCTAATTTTAGTTCCCCTAGTCGCTGGTAGTGGTCGCCGTGCGGTTTAAACCGTATTTAAATCATATTTATAAAACAAAAGCCAGAGCGAATGAATTGAGAGTTTTATAACAACAAGTTGATTACAAGTATTCTGCATGAAATTTCTATTAAAAGACTATGAGAGAGAGTTCAATAAARGYTTTGCACCATCCCGTGCCGTCGMSCATAATTCAGCGTGGACTGCCTGTGACCAGATGGCAGAACAAAACCCTTTTCAAAGCCTCTATGACCTAAGCCGTAGAAATGAAAGGTAAAAATAGCACAAATTGGAGCCAGGTAAACATGAGTGTTTATGCCAAACATTTTGTATTATTTCCTTCTATCCTCGTCCATAATAAAAATGAGAACATCACGAGTCAAAAGTATTACACAGGAAGTAATTGTCGTGATAATGAGGTTGACTTTCATTGATGCTTGGATAAGTGGAAAGCAAGCTTAACCCGGTACACCTGGTAGATACGCCTATCTCACACAATATGTTGTTGGTTGGAGATCTGAAATTGGAGACCGAATAACCCGCTGCAAAATATATTGAATGCCGCAGAACGGGTGGKGCAGGTATCCGTTTTTTCCATACTAGTCTCTTATACTTTGCAATATTAACCCCTCCCCTTCCCCCCGTCCCCCCTGCCCACTTTTAAGGGTGCTCCGCGGCCCCTGTTTCCTTTTAGACTGGAGTATGAAGCATGGCTTCTGAGTAAGGAGTATGGTTTTCGTATCTTAGTCAGAATCACAGATCGCCCATTTCAGATCTGCAACCGATGTTTTTTTCAAATAGGTGTATATGTATGGATAAATAGATGAATTTAATTCCTTTGGCTCGTGTGTGTTTCTTTTGTTGTTTTTTAAAAATAAAATTTTCCTTTAATTTCACAAAAAAGAAAATAAAAAAGCGCAAATCCTTGAAGGCAACTCGGACAACGTGCGACACTCCTACAATTTTTGGAGGAATTGACTTCCTCTTTTCTGGAATATCATACCAATTAATCCTACAGTTTAAGTAGTTATATCGTTTCTTAAGCTAGTTAAAATTAATGAAATAAGCGGCAAAGATAATTGATTAGTTTTGATTAATTAAAGTGAAGTAAAGTYGTGTCATATATCAAACACTTGTGGTTTTGCCCGAGTTAATGAGACTATAAAGTTTAATTACCCTTCATTTTATGATCAAATTYCCAGAAGTCGAAGACAAGATCAATGCTCACCGGAATTTGTTGGTGTGATAGCGAGAATATTCGTTGCTGTAGTGTAATGTATGCTCACCCAAAATGGACAAAATGAAGAGAGAAAGAGAGAGAGAGAGAGAGAGAGGGAGAGAGGGAAAGAGAGAGAGGAAGAGAGAGTCGTGTTCTCGTTGACAGTTCTAATTATTCCCTAAAAAGGACATTTAAACAAAGAACATTCGTATAGTTATGTAGACACTGAAACTCCTATTGAAATTTATAAATGATCGAAGAAAAGATATTCGTTGTCAAAAACTAAGATTTTCCCTTAAAACAAGCGTCGGTAATCGGTGCATGTAAACGTATGACAATAAAACTTTGTTGACATTGATTTACAATCCTATCCATGGCAGTGTGCCCTTTCCCTGGGGTAGTATTGTTTATGGATGTCAGCTATCGTAAATGCTGGCAGGTTTAGCCAAAAAGGACGAACAAGTGACTAATCACAAGATGTTCTTTGGATCTTAATTTACATTTCAAGCCCAATCCACTGATACAACTTATTCCTTCCGTTCTACAGCCTCCCTCCTCCGGGTTCTCGGGTTTCCTCCCTCTATAAAAATGAACATGTGAGTTGAGAGTTGTTTGACCACTAGTAATAGACATTTGGATAGGTTTCTTCATCAGGAACCACGTCCCTTTGGCGTCATACACAAACTATGTCGACAGTCACAAAAGTCCCTCAAAACTGAACCTAAGAGTTGCCCACACTAGTAGCTCAACTCCAGACAGAGTTGGATCCTATAATTTTACTTTTTCGTGAGAAAAAGTTATTTTTTTGAATTAAAAAAAAAAAAAAAAAAAAAAAAAAACGCATTTTCGCAAACGTTTTGTTCTTTAGAAATTAATTACGACGAAATGTTACGGAAATTCATTAATTTGAACTCAAACCTTCTCTTTTTCGAACCAGTTTGCCCTAGTCAATTATTTTGTCGTTCCTGACTTTAATTGATATGTGCGGCTTTGACGGTCAACCATAAATGATCATTAAAAATGTCAAGCTGCTAATGCTTTTCTTAAAAGTGAGATACAAGTAAAATGGACCCTTTCATCATCTGTAAAGGAAAATAACGAAGATTTTATTTCAATCGAGAAGACAAGCTACTACTTTCGTTTGCTGGTTATAAAGTAGCACTCAACGTCATAGAAAAGTCAGCGTACATCGGAAACACTTAAAACTATATTCCGAGTTGTTTTCTTAGTATTTTTCTAATTTAAAGAAAGGGCTATTTTGTTTTGTTWATAATTCTTATATTTGAATAAGGTTTTTTGTTTCTGTTTAAAACAAAAGGCTTCAAAAGTGCTTTCTTCGAACCTATGCCAACCTTAATTTACTTCCTGGAAAAAATCTATTTATYCTTTTATTTTTCTTATCAACTTATTTTTCTTGTTTTAAGTATGTACAACTTATACGTAGCCAGTTTTWTTTTAAATCTTTCTTTACTAAGTATTTCACACGCCTCTTGTTCAAGGATCTGGTTACTAATAACTTTTAGCAAAACATATATTTATAATAATGGTTTATATAACTCTAGTTGCTGCAATCATTATTCATTTTAAGGCGCCGATAATGCGTTCTTCCTTAATAAACTTAAGATTACCAAGCGAAATGATAACTTATCGGTAATTGCTGGCATGGCTCAATATGACACAGGTGAACTTGAGATTTCAAATGTCAGATTTAAAACGGCTCAATAGCAGTTTGATTGATAGTAAACMTATGGATTTTTAAATTTTAATGTCAAATATATAATAAGCAAGATCATAGTATATAGATATTATTCAATAGCAGAAGGAATGTTGGGAAGAAAAAAAACCATTTCAAGTAAAACATGTCAAGCTAATTTCGGGCTTCGCCCTAATTTTAGGGCGCGCGACCACTGTCGTCATGCCTGGGGGTGGTGCCGGCACAAGTGCTTTCTATATTACTCAATTTTATATGTAAAAACACAATTCATTAAAAAGAAAAGGGGAGTGAAATGTAGAAAAAACAGATGAATTTTGTTCTCTACATATTTTATTGACAATAATAAGTTTTATCAAGACAGGAATAGTATTTGCCATGGAAGATTTGATCAGCTTTAATAAGCGAAAAAAACACTGAAAATGACTGATAAAAAAAAAATTCATGAAAAACATTGGGGGAAAATTGGCCATTGCAAGAGAATATTCGAAACGGTAGGGAATTTTCAAAGAGGAAGCAAGGATGGTTAACAGCGCCGCGGAAAAATGATGGCTCAGTGAAAGCTATAGGGTACTTTAATGAAATGCCGAATTATTGAAGATGAATAAAGAACCTATGTGATAAAGCAATGAAACTGTGGGAGACTTTACAAAAGAGGCTATGCATGAAAAAGTGTTTTCGAAGTCAAAGGCACGAAAACTACAGGATATTCAGGAAAACCAATTTTTACGGAGAGAAATAAATGAAACAAAAAAATAAAATAAATAAAATAAAAATGAAACGATGCCTGTAGGAGTCTAAAATGATTAAAAATGAGTAAAAATGGTAGATAGTATTCATAATATGTACCTTAATTTCTTGTGTTCAGTTAGTGTCCTTTCGCCTTGGCGTCTTCTGCCAAAATGTGGAGATCTTCGAGAAGGTAGCCAGTCTTAAATAGCCATCACATGTGGGATCCCTCGTCAACATCATAACAACATCGCTCACTTCCAAGGCTTCCGCTGCGAAGTAGTTTAGACTAATTACCCCATGGCTATGATTACTCCTAAAAGTCTTTTAAAAAGCATCTATTCAGTTTCCAATGAGTGCAGACTTGTGACAGCTTTTCGAAATAGCACCGTGTTTCTTTCAAATTAAACTCTTTCTTGAAGTGTTTCGTCATTTGCGCCCATTTTCGAACGAAAATTATGACATTTTTTTGATAAATTGGCTGTCAGCGAAAAGCTCAAACGCTACATACCCTGTTATAACAAACGGCGTATAAAGACAACAYCTTAATTATATGTTGATTCAACAAACGGTAATAGGCTTCAAAAAGTTCCTTACTTGCCCAAACGAGAGAATAGTCGGAAAATTAATTAAAGACCCCTAAACACTATTAGGGATATATCCTTTATTTTTACTATCAATCTCATTAAAAGTAATGACATCATTCCATTTTGCCAGAAGCAGATTTAGAAGCTAGTTTACTATCAAAACTTCGTCTTCAAAATCTGCACATGATGATGTCATAATTTAATCTTCCATCGGTTGAGTTTCTTTCTAGATTTTWAATGTCATGTAATTTTAAAATCTATTGAAAAAAATAAAAGGCATTTTAAACAATTGTGAAGGGGAACGTCCGACAATATAGAGAATGTTTAGATTTGAAATTTCGTTTACTTCCGGGACCTTCCTACTGACGCCAAATACGAATTGAGTTGCGTCATCTCCCATGAACGCAATTCTTATTTTGTTGTAACGTTGAGGCTAGCGCTTAAAGCTCTAATACGTCTACTATGAATCTAACAAACTTAGGAAACCCAATTTAGACTAATTGTTTTAATCAACATGGATGTAGAAAACATGTCGCGAAGACAATATCGTGAATGAAAAACCGCGCACTTTCTTGGCATCGACAAGGTTGTTTGCGTAGGAATGATGCCATAAATTCATTTAAGACTCCTAAAATATTAGCTAATGCTAATGAGGAACTGTTACGTAAAGGTTTTTCTACCATTTCAAAGCAAGCCTAAAGTATTATATTCAATTCTAGGTCTTTTGAGCCAAGTCAACCCATGGTTTTTTCTGWCATGGCAATTTCTGATATTTCTGTCAATCCATGGTTATTTCTGACAGTTTATTAGGTTTAAGAAGACTTGTCAAGTTCAAGGACAGTTGTTAAAGTGGTTTACTTTTTATGTTTAATGAATCGTAATAAGTGACCGTTAACGTTAATAATGTTCAACAAGGTTTTTTTWAAAAAACCTGTTTAGCATTTCGATGAATACGAGAAAAATCCTATTTGAAACTGCTTTAAAAAATATAAAATGGTTTTATGTGCTCTGACTTTTATTTAGTGGGGAAAAGTGTGTATGTCGAGTGTCATTTTTATCCAATCAGGAATGATTCTTTCGATCATTTTATGTGGAAGAAGAAAATGGATTTTAAATTATCTACTGTGCATCAATAATTTATTGAGAACTGAAGATTTAACATCGTGTGTTTAAAATATGGCTTTTACTTGGAAAAAGAATTGTTAGTGAGCATTTGTATTTGGTGAACTTGTTTCCCATCAGGAGCGRTTTTTGTATATAAAACGTGTGCTAAAAGCAAAGAACAACGAAGGATAACAAWTTGTTTTTCTATGGGTCCATCACGTCTGCAGAGAATTTTATATAGAACGAGCGAGTGCAAAACACAATGAAGGAAAAAAAATCAAGTCTTAAAAACCTTTTAGCGTGCGTTTTTACTAAGACATTATAAGTGCCAGTGGTACAAAAGAGTCAGTTTTTAAAAGAAAACTTTAACTACTGTAAGAGTGCTTCTTCAAAATATTTGAAAAATAAACAATTTAGAAAGAATTCAAATTTTCGTTCGTCGTCGACTTCTTTGTAGAATAATTTGATGACCCCTTGCAGGATACTCTCAGTTGAAGATGTAACATTGAGAGATTATAAAATGGAACGATAAGGTTTTTTTTTTCTTTTTCTTTTTCTTTTTCTTTTTCTTTCAAGAGGGTGGAAATTAGAAAGTGTTGTATTAGAAAGTTTTAGATGGACAACGTTTTCATCGTTTTCCTTTATTTCACTTTACCTTTTGCAAACCTTCACACCAAATGATATCTACTACTTGGATATTTTTTCGATTCCTTTTTACTCATTTTAACTAATTGTACACTGGTCAACTGATCATGAAGTTTCACACTTTTTCCCGTGAACGAAAGCTCCAAATCTTTACCTTTAGCATGATGTTCTTGCTAGCCCCGCAAACGTCAAACTGCAATTCGACGTCAGGCGTTTTCCTTACTTTCGACATTTATCAAGGTTTCATAACGAAGTTGTCGATGGAAGAGTCGCCATATTAAATTTCATCGATGCCAAGTGTTTCTTCGYGTTTGCGGGCGTTTTTCGGGGCCTGATTCCTAGCGGTTAGCGGTAAACACGATGCTAAASGTCTCTTCAACCTGAACTGAACAGGGCGAATCGTTGAAACCATTCCACGCGCGCGCGCGAACATTTTGTTTCTAGTTAACCTATAGATAAAGATGTCTTTATAAGATAAAATGAAAATATTTTCTTTCATTGTATCGCTTTAAATCCTCAGTTCCTTATAMATTAATCGAAAGTTTCTTCAATTACTTTTCAAAGATTAGAATGTTGCTTTTCTGCAACTAATGATAAGCGGATCTCATCGCACGCAAAACCTTCCCACATCACGATACTCGCAATACCAGCCGATTAACTTTTAAGAATATATCGAAGAATAWTTTCAACACTTCATACCTTTAGTGATTTATCCCGACAAAAATACCAAGGTATCTAAAGCTGCTTGAAAAAGATTTCATATACAAATGTTATTTTTACAATTTCTGTGTAATTGTCGAGTCGTAAACTTACGTAATGTTTTTTCTTTCTGTGCCGGGGCAATGCGCTTAACTGCGCTCCGTAAGATTTACGGAYGATCTTAAAGCACCGTTGAGAACTAATGGCCATATAATTTTTGCGTTTGCAGTTTATTCTAATTAGGGAGTTCTAAATATCGTGTTTGGAGGACGTTTCCCCGCTGGTGTAATGCTAAAGAAATTAATAGAAAAATCTAAACCCAGTGAGAGATACAGGATGTAGAGATCTTACCCCACTGAACGTTCATGTCTTTATGTCAATGACAATGGGAAAATCACGGAGGAAATTTGAAAACAAGTTTACTTGATCTTCGTATTTGYGCTTTTCCTACGTTCCTTTCCTTTCTTTTGGCATTTTTTCTGTTTCCTTTCTCTCAGTTCTCGTCTCGTGTCTTTTCTTTTGTCTCRTCTATTCTCTATTCTTCTATTT